CGACATTTGAATTTTGAATGCTGATGGGTTCTTGGTTGCTCTGCAATCAGCCATTTTTTTGGGATCTATTTGAGTCGTGGAATTCAGCATTCTGCAATTAACTTATTAAAAATTGCATGTTGGGTGCTTGCCTCAGCTAAACAGGAGGAAGTTGGAATAGTCCTAGTTCTGTTGTAAGATAGTAACAACTTGTCAACCCCCACCCCTGACACTGTTACATTTTTTTTTTCTTTTGTTCAACTGTTTCCATATCATATCATGTCTTTTCTGAGAAAGATAAGTTCTATTCTTATCAACAGCATTACAACACCATTGAAGTTGGCAGGATCTCGTCTTTGCTTGCCACTTCTTGCATCGTTAAACTAACCAGGATTCCAGTTCTGACTTGCCTCATTGATTTGTACACTGTACAAATTTGGAAGCTGTAATGTAGAATCTTGTAGATGAAAGAGTGCAAGCATTGTCTGGTGGTGTTTGTTTTATCATGTACTGACTTTTTAGTCGCAGTTCTTTTTACTTTAATGTATATTGGCATGGGATCCATGCTTTTGATTCTTACACAAATTATATAGTAATGGTCGGTAATTTAATCATATGCTGTGCACCCTTGATATACCTGTAGTCATCTATATTTTATGCTTAATCTTTTTCTTTTGTCTTCAGTGGAATGGTTGATCGATCAAAACGTAAAAACAACACGGATGAGGTATTCAAGCAAGCTAAAAGGAAGGGGGCTAAGCAAGGTCCGTATGAGGCTCGCCGGCGATCTAGTTCGAGGAACTTTACTGGGACTGGCAGACTTCTGACAGGTGAAAGTATAGAGTGTGATGCACCACAGCCACCAGAAGAAATTGTCCATAACATCTACTTCTGGAGGAATGGCTTCACAGTAAACGATGGCCCACTTAGAAGTTTCGATGATCCAGCAAATGCATCCTTTTTAAAGGTAAAGAACTCTGTTCTGTGCTACCGCGCCTATCACATTTCTGCTTTACTATGCCTAATTTTATGTAAGGCACCACCACCTTTTCTTCAAACATATATATAGCTTGTTCACCCTTATTTTCAATCCAGAATGGTACTTCTAGTTAATGTTTTTGTCCTGTTGGCACATAGCCCAGTACAGTACGATGTGTCTCAAACTTTATATTGAACAATAGATTTCTGAGTAATTAATGAGTTAGAAGAATCAAGGGATCATATGGAACCGTATTTTCTTTTCACTTGGAACAAGTATTATTACTTCTCTGCTGGTTTTCATCATAATGATTTGCAACTGTTTTGTTTTTAGACTGGTCCCCTAATAATAATTATATGAATGGGGCAGGAGCTGTTTGGTAGGTGAGAGGGAAACTTTTAATAGCCAGTAGCCTCAAATTTCCCACAGGGGGGGCAGATTGTTTCTGTTTGAGAAATCTGTTTCTCAGCGAAGTCTTATTCACGCCTGAATTGGTATCTGGTCAGGAAATGATAACTCAACCTAATTTAAAAATGGAAGTAACACTTTGACCTATATTTGTCAAGTTTTATGAACCAACCAATTCAGGCATAGGCCAAGGGATTAAGAAAATGCTTATTCTTATTGAGTTATATATACTTATGCACTTACCTCATATATGAAGGTTCCACCAGGTATTCAAAGTGGAGCGGAAGAAGGCCATGATATTTTTTTTTTCCTTAAAATTGCTTAAGTCGTGTTGTAAACTCGGGGCCTCGTGGCTCTGTACTAGACATAAAAGCCTTAAGTTGTAGACAGAAGGTAAGGTGTAGATGAAAGGTGGATAATGTAGGTTCCAACATCAATAAGATTTTTTTTTGGTACATTGTCGTTTACTGTCTTTTATCGTGTCCTCTTGTATACTTGTTATCTATCTCCTTCGGTCTGTTGTTATTCTTAGCTCTTGTTTAGTTTGTGGCACTGCATGTTAGTTTCTTTATTCCCTCATATTCTTTTTACTAGAGCATCAAGGATTCTGTCTGCCCAACTGAGCTTGAGCCGGCTGATGGGAAATCTAAGGTGAATGTGAATCTTGTCCGGAAGGAAGAAGAATTTACTGTAAGTATGATTAGCTCGAAATGTTCACTTGCTTCAATTGTTCAAGCATCTAACCGTAACGGTATCTATCACTGCCTTGGTAACAGGAGCCAGTCAAGCGTGCTGCTCCTTTTGAAGGGGAACGAAGAACCCTCATGGAACCTTCTGATAATAATACTTCCAGTGCTGCTGCTTCCAGTAGTGTCACTGCTCCTCGGGCAATCACAGTGGACGATTCTTTGCCATCAACCTCCCTCCAAATCAGGTTCGCAGATGGCAGTCGCTTGGTTGCCCGTTTCAACACAAGCCACACGATTAGCGACGTGCGGGCATTTATCGACGCGACAAGGCCAGAAGCCAGCGATTACACGCTGCAGGCCGGGTTCCCCCCAAAGCCGCTTGAGGACGCGACCAAGACCATCGAGGAAGCCGGCGTGGCCAACTCGGTGATCATTCAGTCAGTCTAGCTCGGCAGAACAGGTGCCGACCCTATTCCATCAAACACGCTAGGCATCTGAAGCTATCACCTCCCTCCCTTGCCTTGCTGTTCCTTCATTTTGTTTCTCATCAAACCTGGCTTTTAACCTTCTATATGGCTTCGTCATCCAGTGGCTACTTCTGGTATTGGGAGTGTAAAACAGTGAGATCTGGGTGTCCCCATCTTATATTCATCTAAAGCATATAGTACAGTTCGTATTACTTAGCCTGCTTGTCTCCTTCAGCGTTTGGTGGGTTAAAGTGCCCCTCTTGTTCTTATCTCATCCCCCCTGGTTGGTAGAATGTCGGCACTTGTGGACAACGTTGGTTGCACCAGATGGCCAATTCATTCCCTATTGCGGTTACTGATGTCCGGACGATTGCGATCTGCGAGGTAAGTTCTTTGTCCAGCTTTCATATTCTAACAAGTTATATGTCGTTGGCATTCCTTTCTTGGTGCTGCATAATGGGTCTGGTCGATGGCTAGTCTTTTCCAACGTTAAATAACTGCACATTCATGTGCTACATTTGGTTGGCCATGATTTGCGCTCCCATTCCAGTTGCGCGTTGCTATCTGGTGAGCTGAACGGTGAAAACCCCAGCGCCCATTCCGGCATTCCGTCCCGTCGATCCTTCCGTTTTCGTGCATTTCCTTTCCTTTCGTAGTCCAGTAGTTGCGACGTGGCTTTTCAAGCAGCGACGGTAGAGTGCGTCTCAGAGTGATCATCGCCCGTCAAGTAGGTGAGCCTCGTCCGCTCCGCTCCGCTGCACCAGTTGTCCAGCCCTCAGGCCCCCGCTGCAAAGAACCCAATGATTCGCGCGTCGTCGTCCCACATCACTGTGGAGTGTGTTTCTCAAAAATAAAAATAAAACAGGAGTGTGCGCGTCGTCGTCCCACATCACTGTGGAGTGTGGACTACTAGACTGTGTGGTCACTGGTCAGGCAGGCATCATGGTCATGGCGTCCCATCCGGAATCCTGGATCGCGGCTAAGCCTTGTCGCTTGATGATGCGTTGGCCGCGCCGAGCGATTCCTCCCCTTCCCGTACGTGCCCAAGGCCGCGCGCGACACCCGGCCGCCCATGATGTGAGACTTTGGAGACCGCCGAGCGCCGACAAAACAGACGCGCGGACGGAATGAATGAGTTCAGCTCTAAAACTGGCTGCTAGCGCACCGAATCGAGAGTAAACGACGCCGGAACGCGAGGGAACGTCACATGCCGTGGCTGGCCGCGCACCCGTCTGGATCAGCGGGGGCGAACTGGGGGAATGGGCGAATGAATGGCCGCGGGCAGCTGGCTCATTACACGGGCACAGTGCAGGACAAACCGGGAGCTCGCTTTGCTTGGCGCTGCGTTCTTTCTCGAGTGTCTTTGGCAGCAGGCTCCTTGTCCTTGGGAGGGGGCCCTACCTGTCACGGGCAGCAGGGCCACCCAAGTCACGGGCGCTCGATTACCTTGCTTAAGTGGTGAGCTGATTGGTGCACCGGGATTAAGCGTCGGCGTCAGATTTCCCTCGGCACATGCCATGTCTAGCAGGACGTGCACGAGGCTTTGCCACCACTTGCTGCTATGATTCCAACTTTCGACGCGCTAGTTAGTAGCAGAGCCTGGTATAAAACAGACTGATGGAATCGAGTTTGTATTATGCAGGAGTACTCCGTAGAAGGGAGTACTCAAGTGCAGTACCAACATGTTCCACAAAGTGAGGTGGAGTCAAACTCATCTGGATCTTTTAGACAGCAACTAGACGTTTGAACGTACACTACCTGTACTGCTAGCCAGGATTAACTGCGTTCGCCTGTTCGTTCGTTCGTATCAGCTATCCGCTGCCTGCGAAGACGAAGAGGTGTCGGTTTGTCTTTGCCCCCCATGATGAACATGAACCAACTTTTGGGGGTGCTGGAGCCTACTAGAGCGGACCCAGCATGCTTGACTAATGGTTTTTCTGATGTTCCACCCAACGAATAATCAATAATCCGGCACCCGTCATTCCGATCGCCCACTTTTTCGAGTTGTTTAGAGCTCGCCATCGTCCGTCCTCAGCACCAGCGCATCCATGCACGAGCAGCGATGCGAGACCCCGGTCGCACTCCACATTTGGTAGTAGTGACAATCACGCCGTCCGTCCTCTCCATTCTCTTCCCTTCTCCCAGCTGCATTTACATACATCCGCCCCCACGCTGTACCCACACCACACACACACACACACACTGCGGCCAGCGGCACAGCAGAGAGAGAGAGAGAGAGAGGAATTAAGCTTTGCCGACACCCCACAGCATTCCCTCGGCTGCCTGAAGCAAGCAAGCGACCGCTTCTTCCCAGGCCCCGCGCGTGTGTCTGAGCTGTCGCTGATGGATGGATGATAGATAAAGCTGTGGAGCAAGGGGAGGGGGAGGTGCTGCCCATGGTGAGCATCGCCTTGGCCGTGTAGAGGAGTACTGCAGCCGGAAGAGATTTTTTAGATAGAGCGATAGTAGGCAGGCAGGATGAAGTCAAGAACTGCGACGCCGGCGGCCGGCCTCCTCCTCCTCGTCGCGCTTGTGGCGGTGGCGGAAGCCGACACCGACGCCGGCGATGGTAATGCAGTTTTAGCAAGACCGCACCGCCTTACCCGGGCTCGGCGTTCTTGGTCTCCTGAAATGTGTTTCAGCAGCTAAGCTATGCCTGTGTGAAGTGTGATCGGTGCTCTGGTTGTTCTTGCATGCAGTTGCGGCCTTGGGGAATCTCTACAGCTCCTGGAACAGCCCGGCGCAGCTCACCGGGTGGTCTGCCAGCGGCGGCGACCCCTGCGGCGCCGCGTGGACGGGTGTCTCCTGCTCGGGCTCCGCCGTCACCTCAATGTATGTAGAAGAGATTCTCAGTTTCTCACGCACCAAATCTACACTTTCTAGCGATGAAAACGACAAGATATTCAGTCTGTCACATTGAGCCGTGATTCTAGGAAACGTCGGTGTTTACTCTTTTCTTCCCCCCACTTCACTCCGGCTCCTTAAAAAAAAAGGGCACAGAAAGTCTCTGATGAATTATCTGAACCTTTTTTCTCATGCTGCTTGCTGAAAAGTTTGTTAGTGGTGCCTAGCATTTACAAGTACATCCATCCACTGCTGCTGCTGCCCTGCTTTTCCACCAAAAAAATGGGTCACCACTGCTGTTATGGCCAAACGCATATTATAATAACGATCAGCACACACTGCTGGTCCTGGAGATAATATATAGATATAACGCACTGCTTTTTCATGCTTGCTATGATGAGAGATATGGTCATACATTGTGTTGTTATGCTCCGGTAAGAGAGTAAATGTTGTTCCGCATAATTTTGTAACTGAAATTCATAGTTTTTTTAACCAAAATTGCCCTTGACAGTATCTTGTCACATGTGTTGTTATTTGTTAAGCTATTCAAATCTGGTTTAGTATACAGATAAAGTTTGCAGAGTAGAAATATTTCCTTCAAAATGCATGTGGACCTTATCATTTTCATTTTTCTGTTTACAATCACGGCTATATGAATTTACCTGTTAACTGAAGTATTCTGTCTCTTTCCACGCTTTGCAGCAAGCTTTCTGGTATGGAGCTGAATGGTACTCTTGGTTATCAATTGTCAAGTCTACAGGCTCTGAAAACAATGTAGGAGCTAACACTTGATTATAGTTGTTCAGTTTTCGTGTCCTTTTCGTAATTTATATCTTCGGTTTCTAAACTTGCAGGGATTTAAGCAACAACTACTTGCATGATGCAATTCCTTACCAGTTGCCATCAAACCTTACCTATCTGTAATGCCTCCCAACCTGTACATGTTTATTCATGCTATTTGATTCTTGAAATTTGATTCAAAGCGAACGCAGGAATTTGGCAAAAAATAACTTCTCGGGTGATCTTCCGTACTCTATATCCAACTTGGTTTCACTTGAGTACCTGTAAGTTGCTGTCCATTGCAAAGATGTAATTCGTTCTGTGATGATCTTTTTAGTTAACACAATCTAAACTGCAATGAACCACTGTGTGCAGCAATCTCAGCCACAACTCGTTATTTCAGGAAATTGGTGAACTATTTGGAAGCCTCAATTCACTTTCAGAACTGTAAGGCCTACTGAGCCGTTTGTTTTCGTATGCAAACTTGACTTGAATATTGTGTGGTCGAAATTATTAATCATGCACATACTATTTCAGTATTGAATGTCCTCTTCATTAGAAAATAAGTGTAATTTTGAGCAACAACAAGAACAACAAAGCTTTTAAGTCCCAAACAAGTTGGGGTAGGCTAGAGTTGAAATCCAGCAGAAGCAATTAAGTTTCAGACACGTGAATAGCTGTCTTCCAAGCACTCCTATCTAAGGCTAAGTCTTTGGGTATATTCCATCCTTTTAAGTCTCCTTTTATTGCCTCTATCCAAGTCAACTTCGGTCTTCCTCTGCCTCTCTTCACGTTACTATCCTGGCTTAGGATTCCACTACGCACCGGTGCTTTTGGAGGTCTTCGTTGGACATGTCCAAACCATCTCAACCGGCGTTGGACAAGCTTTTCTTCAATTGGTGCTACCCCTAATCTATCACGTATATCATCGTTCCGAACTCGATCCCTTCTTGTATGACCACAAATCCAACGCAATATATGCATTTCCGCGACACTTATCTGTTGAACATGTCGTCTTTTCGTAGGCCAACATTCTGCACCATACAACATAGCAGGTCTAATTGTCGTCCTATAAAACTTGCCTTTTAGGTTTTGTGGTACCCTTTTGTCACATAGGACACCAGATGCTTGCCGCCACTTCATACACCCTGCTTTGATTCTATGGCTAACATCTTCATCAATATCCCCGTCTCTCTGTAGCATTGATCATAAATATCGAAAGATATCATTTCTAGGCACTACTTGACTTTTCAAACTAATATCTTCATCCTACTGAGTAGTAGTCCCGAAGTCACATCTCATATACTCAGTTTTAGTTCTACTGAGTCTAAAACCCTTGGACTCCAAAGTCTCCCGCCATAACTCCAGTTTCTGATTCACTCCTGTCCGGCTTTCATCAACTAGCACTACATCGTCCGCGAAAAGCATACACCACGGGATGTCCCCTTGTATGTCCCTTGTGACCTCATCCATCACTAAGGCAAACAAATAAGGGCTCAAAGTTGACCCTTGATATAGTCCTATCCTAATTGGAAAGTCATCCGTGTCTCCATCAATTGTTCGAACTCTAGTCACAACATTGTTGTATATGTCCTTAATGAGCCCGACGTACTTTGTTGGGACTTTATGTTTGTCCAAAGCCCACCACATAACATTCCTTGGTATTTTATCATAAGCCTTCTCCAAGTCAATAAAAACCATGTGTATGTCCTTCTTCTTCTCCATATACCGCTTCATAACTTGTCTTATTAAGAAAATGGCTTCCATGGTTGACCTTCCGAGCATGAAACCAAATTGGTTCATAGAGACCCGCGTTATTGCTCTCAAGCGATGCTCGATAACTCTCTCCCATAGCTTCATAGTATGGCTCATCAACTTAATTCCCCGGTAATTAGTACAACTTTGAATATCCTCTTTATTCTTGTAGATCGGTACCAATATACTTCTCCTCCACTCATCAGGCATCTTGTTCGATCGAAAAATATGGAAGCCCAAAAACATTGCCACCAATATACTTCTCCTCCACTACTTGAGCACAAAAACAATATTCAAAATATAACATTGCCACCAATAAAATTGTAACATACTTCTTTTGATCACAAATGTAAGCCCATCTACGTCTGTCTTAGTTAAAAATAAAAGACTCCGACTAACAATATTATCTGAAATGAAAATTTATTTATATTATAGAACGAACGCGCCTGAACGCTTATTTCACTAAGAGGAGAACCATATTATAAAACTAGTTTTTATAATGAATCTGGTAATGACAATCTTGTGTTGTAAATCTATATAAATTTTTGGATAATTGATGGTCAAAGTCAAACTAGTTTGACTTAGGACAAAGCTAGATGGAATTCTATTTCCAATCATAGGAGGTATCTGTTGAATCTATAAAAAGAGTTTTTTTCAAGAAAATTTACTGATACCATTTTCATGTGGACAATCTAACAATCATATAGACATTATTGGTGAAAATTAAAATAGTTTGATGCATGGATCCTAGGGTGACTTATTTTGACTGGTAGGAGTATCCATTTTCAAGTGAGGATGATGATAATTTTATTAGTGTTAATACAATATAAGATTAGCTGCTCTTAAACCCTATGAATTCATCTTATGCTAATTAAAATCCTTACAGAGACGTATCTTTCAACAACCTGACGGGGAATCTTCCTTTCTCAATGGGCTCTCTGTCAAAACTTTCTAGCCTGTAAGTATTCAGATCTTCCCCCATTTGTATTTCTGTTTCATGGTTCTGATTGGTTTCTTCTTGCCTGCTATGCAGTTATATGCAAAATAATCAACTATCAGGCACAGTTGATGTCCTCAGCAACATAAGCCTTGCAACACTGTAAGTAGCTTCCCACATATTGATATGACTGCTAATTTTCCTTTCATGAAATTTTATCTGATAATTTGTTATGTATTATGATCAACCTTCAAACAGAAATATTGCAAACAACAATTTCAGCGGCATGATACCTCAAGGATTCAGCTCAATTCCAAATTTAATGTATGCACAAGTATGCTTTACTTTTGTCTTTTGTATTTTAATCATCAAGTACATACATGCTGATGTGTTGGTGCAATTGCAACCACAGAGTTGGAGGAAACTCATTTGTCAATATGCCTGCCTCCCCACCACCAACTCTGAAGCCACATGATCAGCCAAACGATCCTCAAGGACCTATTAGTGCTCCAACTATCCCAGAGACTCCTATTGATCAAGACGACAAGAAGATGCAAACAGGTCCTCTTATAGGCATAGCGGTTGGCTCAATAGCTGCTGCCTCATGTGTTCTTTTCGTGTTGGTGTTCTGCCTTCACAATGCACGAAAAAGAAATGATGATGCAAGCAGTGAACCAAAAGATATTGTGGGTTCTCTTGCAGTAAACATAGAAAGAGGTATGGTCCTATTTCTTTCTGCACTGTAGTGTTCTACTACCGTACCAGCATTTATTATCAGCTAGTGATTCATAATTCATCAGATCAGAATTGTGATATGCTCTGAATCGGGAACACTAAAAATAAATTACTAAAACCACAGGATCTAGTAATTTAGTGAGGTAAGCAAAATGGATCAGCAGCTCACGATTTTGCTGTTGTCATAATTTTTAATAAGAAAAGAGTAAAAATAAAACAGCTAAGGTAGGTCTGGCTTGAATTGGTAAATTGTTGCTGCTCCATATTTTTACATTTCTTGGTGTTTCGTTGCTGCAGCATCTAATAGGGAAGTCCTAAACAACAACCATGAAAATGCTGTGGTAGCAACTTCAGATCTCCAACCTGCTGGAAAGATGACTCCGGACAGAGTGCATGGTACAGATGGTTCTACTGCCAAAAAGCCAAAGGTTCCTGTGACAGTGAAATCATATACAGTTGCTGCTCTCCAAGTTGCTACGAATAGCTTCTGTCAAGACACTCTCCTAGGCGAGGGTTCGCTTGGTCGTGTTTACAAGGCTGATTTTCCTAATGGGAAGGTAATAGGATATTTGAATATTTGACCTAATTGAAAATTTTGAGCTGTGCCATTTGTATCCCATGTTCCTTATATCTGATACAATGGTGAAACTCTGTGACTTGGTCAGGTTTAGTTTCCATATTTGACTGTTTAGATCATTTTTACCTTTTTATTGCATTATCAACAACACACAGTCAAATATATATATAAAATAATGTTGACATAGCATTGCTTATGTCAATTAATTATTAGTTTGTTTTGTTTCGTTATGATTCTGAAACTAAATCTTGCCTGTAAATGTGATGGCAGGTACTTGCCGTGAAGAAGATAGACAGTGCTTCTCTGTCTCTGTATGAAGAAGATAATTTTCTCGAGGTTGTCTCGAACATTTCTCGGCTCAGACACCCAAACATTGTGCCCTTTACAGGCTATTGTGTTGAGCATGGACAAAGGCTTCTTGTGTATGAGTACATTGGAAACGGAACACTACATGATATACTGCACTTCTCTGATGGGACGAGCAAGAAACTCACATGGAACACCCGCGTAAGGATAGCTCTAGGCACCGCTCGCGCTTTAGAGTATGTTATGTTATTCAAGAAAATCTGATATTTTCATTCCATGAGAAGGCTATGTTATTCTGGTATTCATTATACTACATGTAACATCTAATTTTCTAGGTACCTGCATGAGGTGTGCCTGCCACCTGTGGTACATAGGACCTTCAAGTCATCTAACATCCTGCTTGATGAAGAGTACAGTCCACATCTGTCTGACTGTGGGCTTGCTGCTCTGTCACCGAATCCTGAGAGAGAGGTAAACAATGTAGCACTATCTGTCAATGGTAATTCTTTCCGAAGCGTTATCTTCAGTTTTTTTTTCTAGCTGCTACTTGGGCTAAGAAGATATTGCTATGTTATGCCGGTATGCCCAGGTTTCCGCTGAAGTGGTTGGCTCTTTTGGATATAGCGCCCCTGAGTTCGCCATGTCAGGAATATACACTGCAAAGAGCGATGTGTACAGTTTTGGAGTGGTGATGCTAGAGCTGTTGACAGGCCGTAAACCACTAGACAGGTAATATGCCTGCCATTTCTGATCTTGTCATTTGAAGTATTTTTTTGAAGAAATGTCATTTGTAGTATTAGTGAGTGAAACTGGTAGACCAAGCTGACAATTCATTCTGATCTTGTTGCGATTTGGATAACTGTATGTGCCTTCCAGCTCCAGGGAGAGGTCAGAACAGTCTCTTGTCAGATGGGCAACCCCGCAGCTCCACGACATCGATCTACTTGCCAAGATGGTTGATCCGGCACTGGATGGGCTGTACCCTGCCAAATCCCTCTCCCGTTTCGCCGACATAATCGCGATCTGCGTCCAGGTACATTGTTTATCGTTGGTGCTGCGTAAAGTCCATCTCTCTCTCCTTTGTTAAAGCCTTGTATGTTCTTGCACTGCATCACCAGTTTCCGGTTTTAATTGAAATAATAATCATTGTTAGCGACCACCGAGTCCAGTCGTCGAACAACAGCAAGTCAGTCATAAAATAGTTTTTGGCTGGCATGTGAGCTAAACCCCTCTCTTTCAGAGGTGGACTAAGATTGGGATGTTGTGTGGCCAATTTTTGCAGTCGGAGCCGGAGTTCCGCCCGCCAATGTCGGAGGTGGTGCAGCAGCTGGTGCGGCTGATGCAGAGGGCGAACATCATACGCCGGCAATCGGACGATCTGGGCTACTCGTACAGGGTCCCCGACCGCGAAGCCGACGTCCTCTGAAGTTGGTTCAGCTACACTGCGTGTATACTACAAAAGCGCTGCACAGTTTATATATTTAAACAAAAGAAAAGCAGATTGGGGCTGAGGCAGCACCTGGGTCAGGTTACGTTGGAGTTGAGTGCTGCTGGATCCTTGCACGTTTTATTCTGTCCTCTGTTAGTCTAGTCACCTGTAAATGACTTTTTTTTTTTTTTGGCGACTACCTGTAAATGACATTTGAGTGACATGGATAGCGTTTGGAGTGTACCGGGACTTTTCGTGAGCTGTGAGTGTCATGTATAGTTGTGGGCTCTTGCAAGTGGCAGATATATACTCCGAAGGGGGGAAAAACGTGTCTTTTTTTATGTGTAAAATTCTTTGACAAGCCGCGGACGGTGACCTGCGCGCCGTCCTGCAGCCTTGCTTTGCGGCGAGGGCAAGCCAAGCTTCTCCGATTTGCGGCGCGGCAATTCAGCCAACGCCTTCTGGCTTATCGCATGGAACGCATGGACCATGCAGGCAGGCCATGGTGTTGAGTTCAGCCGCTGGCGCCGATGTCAAACGTGGGGGGATTCGTCGATGCCGACGGCTTTGGGGTTATCCGTCTTGGGGCTTTGCTGGGGTCACCATCCGCCGCTACTATAGGCCATATTTACTTCCCAAAATTTTTCAACCTAAAATGTCACGTCGAATCTTACGGCACATACACAGAACATTAAATGTAGACGAAAAAAAAACTAATTATACAGTTTAGTTGGAAATCACGAGACGAATCTGTTAAGCCTAATTAGGCTATGAAAAACCTTAAGTGCTACAGTAACCCACATGTGTTAATGATTGATTAATTAGTATCATTAGATTCGTCTCACAGTTTTTTGATGGATTCTGTAATTTATTTTTTTATTAGTATTAAAAACTCCTCCCAATATCCTTCTAACCCATTCGATGTGACACCGAGAATTTTCGACTACCGCCTAGACACCCTGCCGATGCTTGCCGAGTACTGTACGTGCACCGTTCGGGTCATTTCGACTGGAAATTGTCCGTTTATACTGCAGCAGTGCTGACCGTGACCGAGGGAGCGAATCTGCGAATGGATTGGGTTGCCAGGCGGGAATGACCGGACGAGCGGTTGGAAGAAGGATTCGACAGGCGTGCCACGACAGTCGACAGGTATAAAATCTCCGCGCCTGCTACGATCACATGCCACCTACGAGAGTGGTTGCACGTCCGTTCAGCCAAGCTTGCACTCAGACTACCTACGCTACTATGCACGTAGCCTTCCGCTGTCACATGTGCGTAGCGTACACCGGGTGGCTATCCCTATTACGCGTAGCCTTAGGGTGGTGGCGACGTAGCCTAGTGGGCAATAGTGGCCATCGCAGTCTCAGGCTCCTGTTGAGAAAAATCAGCGTATTTACGTCTTGTTTAGTTCCACCTCAATTTCTAACAAGTTGCTACAGCACCTATCACATTAAATGTTTGCGGCCTGTGCATGGAGCATTAAATGTAGACGAAAAGAAAAACTAATTGCACAGTTTGGTGGGAAATTGCGAGACGAACGTTTTAAGCCTAATTAGTCCATGTTTGAACACTATTTACCAAATAAAAATGAAGGTGCTACAGTAGTCCCAAAATCCAAATTTCACGAACTAAACAAGGGCTTAGACTTATTTGACTTATAAGCCATGATTAAAGATACTGTTGGCTGATTTGGTGTGAGAGAAAAATATTATTCGTTGGCTGATAAGTTATGGCTTATAAGTCAAATACGACTAAGCAAACAGGCTGTAAATTATTATGGCTTATAAGCAAAATACGACCCAGCGAACAGGCTGCAAATCGTTCAATATAGCGATGAAGTTTATAATCGCTACTAAAACTTATAGATTCCCCTCCCAATTTAGATTTTTTTATCACCGAGTAAATATCATTGTTGTGATTTTCATACAGAACTTGAAAGTCCAGCAAGTTTTATTCCCTTTTTACCCTTCCGGACGACACCTTATCCAAACAAAGATTCATTCCTCCCAAAATTCCTCTCTCGCTCCTCTAGCACGGTCCATTGGCCAAGCGACCGGCAGGTGTGCGCACGCGGGCAGCGGCGAGGGCGAGGCATGGGCAGACGGTGATCGTGGCCAGGGTGCCTAGACAGGCGTGTGCGCGCAAACAGGTCAGGGCACAGTCACAAAGTTCCCGGTTCGTGGAACGGGAATCGTCGAACGTTGTACGCTCCTTGAGAAAGGATTTCTACGAAACCGATCCACGCACGTTCCCGGGACGCGGAACCCGGCACCGTACCACGTTCTCAGTGACTGTGAGGCCTGGGAAAGCGGTGAGAGACGTGGGTGGCATGCGGTGGATGCGAGTGCGGAGTAGCACTTGGGCCGCGTCGACAAACTCGAGTTCACATGATTTGCCAGCTTGGACAATTTGGAAGAGGGCAAAGGTGTGTAGGGTCACTTGGGACAGATTTTCTGTGAAAATAATTGAGAGCAACAGAGC